AAGAAAATAATATGTAAAAAGCAATACAGGAAAAGGCATTTAATCTATTATTAATGATTAATATTTAAATTTGTAAATTAGTTACACTAAAAATTAAATATTGCAGCATTGTTATAGAGCAGGATATACAGAAAAACTGTTCTTTTCCTCATCAAACCTAAGTATCACCGTTTGGGCTAGGTACTGTGATTCCAGAATAGCTGAGATGTTTTTTTACTTCATGCTTTTGCAGCAAGTCTTGTAAGAGTTTTTTCAGAAAGATCTCAAATCCTTTTACTTACTTATATTTCCCCTGTCTATTCCAAGCCGACCCCTCCCTTCTCTTTCTCCTTTTTCCTCAACAGACCCAAACTGTATGTCCTATATGGATTGCAAAGTCAAGAGTGGCTTGTCAAATTTAACCCTAGATGTACCGTTGCTTTGTAGCAACTCTTTTCATGTCAGGACTTACTTGAAAGAATAGAACTTACTTGAATCACAAATGAAAGAAAGTATTATTAAAATTAACACCAGCAAAAAAGCAGTGGCAATTCCATAGTAATTCAATATTGGAACAATTCAATAGAATTGCCATAAATCACAAAAAATGTAGGTGTTGAAAATCCCTTAGATAAGTTATTAAAGAGTACTTAAAGTAAAAATAAACCGACTTCTATGCATGTTGTAATATATATTCAGAAAAAAAAAACAATGATAAAATCAATTCTTCTTGCACTCTTAGTTACTTTGATATTTTTTTCAAGCACACATAATTCTTGCACGTACTTCAAAATTATAAATATTGTAGAATATTTTTTTGTGGGAAAAACATGACCGATCTGATTTATATACATATTATAAAGATGACAATTTTTAACTTCACATAAAGCAAAGACAGCGCCATCTGGATATTTTATCATCTGTATTGCTGTGGAGGAAGGAGAGCTATATAAAATCATGTAGAACCTTAATTTGGTTCCAACTTCACAGTTCAAAATTATATCTGACTGCCTATGTAGGACAACTCAGAAATTGTTGTCACCAATCATCTGTCATCATCTGACCTGCCTTAATTAATGAACATGTTTATGCTTAAATGGGAGGATTGTGGTGATTCCTCTTGAAGATTTCTTAGTTGTTGGTTTGTTTTGTTGGGTTATTTTTCCTGAAGCTGTAGTGCTTGAAGCTTACCTTCTTTCAGATTGTTGTGTCAGTTTGGCTGGAAGAATAGAGTAAGGAGTTTCCTACATCTGGAGGAATCAGTTTCTGTCTGTACCAGTGAGAAATGTGATGATCACTGATAGGTGACATTTCCCTTGACCAATGCGCTTGGTTTGGAATGTTCTCTTTTTTTTTTTTTTTAACACACACACACACACATATATATATATATATAAACATATGGATGAGACTACAATTTGTAATTATGACACATGGAGCGTTTGCAATATTCAAGAAAAATTTTCTTTGTGGCCAGCCTTTACCTGCTCTAAATCTTCAGTCTGGTACATTATGAAACAATAGCAATATTACTGAAATAATTACGAAGTGGCTGTGGCTTCTATATGTTAGTATTTCAATTTCAGTGCCTTTGAGCATGTTGAACAAGTAACCAGATTAAATCAAATTAATATTGTAAAAGTAAAGTTACTCTTTTGCTTGTGGAAATAAAAAATATGATTGTGATTATAGTTGGAGGGGCACACCAAAAATAAAAGGGAGGAACACCAGTTGCAACAAAAGAAATGCTATTACGTGTCAGGGAGAAAACACTGGAACATGTGGCAGGGATACATTGATGAATCTCCATCCATGGAGATAGTCAGATCTTACTTTAGCTCTGTCCCCATTTTGATCAGGAAGCTGGACTAGAGTAATCTTTTCCACATTGAACTGAGCAAAACTACTAAAAGAGAGCAGGTAAAAAGGAGTTCCAGCTCAGCATCTGCAAAGCACAAGTTGTCTTCCCCCAACAGACGGTAGTAGTTCAAGCCACCTCACATCAAACCCATCACCACAGTCTCAGCTCCTCTGTACTTGGCAGACAAATATGTCACTGGTGCACAAGGCATCCCCTTTTAGCTGTGTACTGTGCTATATGAGGGCTATAAATGCTCTGAAGAAATTCCAGTGCTCTTCATTTCTCATGACAAGACTATACTGTTTATTTTTGGGAGTGCAAGATGCAGCAGGTGGCAAATGTGAAAGAACATAGATTGTACAGGCTTGTGTACATTTTTATGTCTAACATAGCAAATTTCTACCAATTTCTGCAATATACCTCATCTGTATTTGCATGTAAGTGCAAGAGTTCATCTCTTATTTATATTCCAACTCTCAAATAAATATAATTCGTAATAGTTCTAAGTCATATTGCTTGCCTTACAAGTGTACTATTAGGCTATCTGAAATGAATGTTGTGGACGCTGTATGATTCTAGTTGACATACAGTCAGTTCAGAGTGTAGATCCATTTATTAATTATGTATTGCATTTAGGACTTGCAAATCACCATTCAGTCTTGATATGTCATTGCCCCTTGTAGAAAAAGATGGGTGATTCACAGTTGGATCTTAGACACAGTATCTCAAGGGTACAAAATATCTTCGTATTTCTTGCAAATGTCAGAAGAAATTGTTTCAAAAGATGTTATGTGGGTAATGCATACGATCGTGCATACTTAATTAAAGTGCCTGAGTAGTTTACTAATGTAGTCATGTGGAATAGACTGTATCATTAAGCAACTTAAAAACATAAAATGAAATCATGGTGTAAAAAGTCAGATTTTGCATTATATTTTATTAATCTGGGTACATTCAGGTCCAGTTTGCCAGATTTACAAGACACTGAGGGGAAGAGGATGAGGAATTAAACAGGAGGAAGTAAAAGCATAATGATTCAAAATACAGAGAGGTTGTAATAAGAAATAGTAAAAATGAAGACAGAATGCAGAAGGAGCCAAACAACTGGCTCTTAGGTGGTAAGTCTCCTTACCACTTTCTACAGAACTTGTCTGGTATATATATTGTGGCTGTCTGATGCAACAGCTCCTTAGTGAAACTCAATATAACCTTGAATGGTTCTACGCTGGTTTTGTTTGTGCAATTGCCTTGGCAACTCTGAAAGAGTTTACTACCCTAGGTTATCAATCTACCAAGTTGCTAAACTGTTCTTACACCATTCTTTGATCTGGTACAAATGAGCTTTCATCATAGTATCTTTGATGGCATCTTTTCTGAACTAAATTTATAATTTTCTTCATAGGGTAATTATTAATTCTATAACTAGAAGAAGTTAAACTCCTATGAGAAAGGATATGATACTTCAACGCTTCAAAAGAAACGTTAGAATTATCTTTCCTTGTTGTCTGTAACATTATTGACTGCTGTTCTGTATGAGTTTCCTACATTTTACATCATTATTTTAAAAACAGAGACAAGCAGTGATAAATTTAGGACAGCTACTAAAATGCTTCTGGTAGTTCATGTCAACAGCAGCCTACTTTCAAGGAATCTGCTATTATTAGCCTTATTGCAAAACCAACAACTGCTTTTTAATATATTATTTCTTTGAGGTACTTGACAAATAATGCATTTTAAGATGTTCTTATCCGAAGTATCACTAAGAAATTGCAGATATAAAAATAAGACCTCTGGGTAGTCTGTAACAGTTCATACAAAGCTGTTCAAAGCTAAAGAAAGAATGGGGATGTCCCCAAATGAAGCATTAATATTATCACTAGTAAACTTCACCAGTGAGGGGAAAAAAAAAAAAAACAACACAAAAAACGGTTTATGACCAGTTAACCTTAAATGCATGTATTTACTAATTGTTTAACTGTTCTGCTTTTCCTTTTTTTTTAAAAAGGAATAGGAACAGTTTGTCAACTTTTGGAGGTGGAGGGGTTATCTGTCCAAAAAAATCAGTGTGATCTTTGGTGTATATAATCCACAGGGGGTCAGCAGCAGTTTATTGCCTCTCTGCAGTATGGTCAGTTCTGGATTACTTGACCCATAATCAACAAAAGCTGGATAAAGCATCTCTGAAACTGAAATAGACTGATGAAAATGATCATACAACTAGCAAGTACTCCAAGCGTCAGCAGCAAAATTCATTTTGAGAGACATTTTAAGTATAAATCCCAGCTATCTCAAGGGATTAAAGTTTTGATAACGTTCCTTGAACTTGTCAAAAAGATGAAAATAAGATCCAGTGCATGGGAACTGAAACTGGACAAATTAAAAAAAAAAGTGATATATGTAAAAACTGTCAGCAGTAACTACCTGTTAAGAACAGTTAAGAACTGTTAAGAAAGCTCAGTAGGAGCTGTTAGGTTTTCCTACCTGCAGAAACTTCTAGTTCAATATTGGTATTTTTTCCAGTAGATATTATAGTTGTCATCATTTAAGCCCAGGCCATAAATCAGAACCATGCAGTCTACTCCCCCCCAGCACTGCTCCTGGAGGGACAGGGAGTAGAATTGAAAGAATGTAACTCCCACGGGTTGAGATAAGAACAGCCCAGTAACTAAGGTATAACACAAGCCATACTGCTACTACCACTAATAATAATGATAAGGGAAATAACAAGAGAAGATAATACAATACCGCCTGTCGAAACCCAGCCTGACCGAGCAGTGAACCAGCCCTTACGGGTAACTCTCCTGTTTCTGCTTCCTCCCGGCTTCCCCTCCTCCCTGGCAGAGCATGAGGTTCAGAAAGTCCTTGGTCAGACTAAACATTTAAGCAGTAACTAAAAACATCAGTGTTATCAGCGCTGTTCCCAGGCCGAAAGTCAAAACCACAGCGCTGCACCAGCTACTAAGAAGGAGAAAAAATGACTGCTTCTGCTGAACCCAGGACAGTATCCACCCCTTATTCCATACCATTCACGTCATGCTCAAATCCCACATTGTCAATATACCATCACTCTTATCTCAGTGCAGTCTTATCTTAGTGCATGGACCAATCCCTATAAACCTGCTGAGTCCATCTGGTCCATGATGTTGGGCTCCATCTCTTGTAACAGTCTTTCAGAGCAGGAGAGGCTGTGTGCAGTGTTCACACTCGTGAATAACCTGGGCAATAGCATCCATTGCTAAGTCCACCCCTTGATCATGAGTCCATCTCTGTGTTGCATCTCTGCCCTGATGGCCTGAAGTGTCATGAGCCCACCAGGCTTAAAATAATTCACTGTCCCCTTCAGCAGTCTCTGCAACCGGTTGTTGGGGACTCCATACAGCTGCGTTCCATCTCCGATGCTTCCAAAGCACTGGTGGGGCCCAGTGGACTAGATACTTGCCCATACTGTCCCACACACCCGGCCACTCATGACTGTCCAGCCCTGGGGAAAATCTCTTGGTCCTCCTATATCGTTGTCTAACCCTAGACAAGACCTAAACCTGACTCTGCTTAACTTTCAAGGTCAGACAAAATGGTCATGGGTAAAACACAGTCCACTAATAATAATGATAAGGGAAATAACAAGGGAAGAGAATACAATACCACCTGTCGAAACCCAGCCTGACTGAGCAGTGAACTCGCCCTTCCAGGTAACTCTTAGTTACATCCTGGGCATGACGTGCTCTGGTATGGATTACCTCTTTGACTAGTTTGGGTCAGGTGTCCTGTTTCTGCTTCCTCCTGGCTTCCCCTCCTCCCTGGCAGAGCATGAGACTCAGAAAGTCCTTGGCTAGATTAAATATTTGAGCAGTAACTAAAAACATTGGTGTTATTAGCGCTGTTCCCAGGACAAAAGTCAAAACACAGGGCTATACCAGCTATCAAGAAGGAGAAAAAATGACTGCTACTGCTGAACCCAGGACATAGTACAGTCAGAAATTAATTCTTGTAGTTCTCCTATATAACAAATACGTCTAAAATTATTCTTTCCACTTTTATTTTTAATTTGTGAAATTGGGGTAGGTTAAGAAATGCGGTATATATTACTCAGGCACCTACAGTGCATTCACTGATCATCTCTAGTGTCTGATAATACCTTGACTTGCTCCACTTTACTGTTCTCCTCTTCATTATTAAGAAGTTAAAACAACATCTCTTAGCTCGTAGCCTGCAAAACAATTTAATCCTAAGATCCCTTTTTTGCTTTCAACACTAGTCATTTAGTCAAATAAAAGAAAAAAAATCAAAATCTGAATGAGGAAGTAAAACCAGGAGTTATGCCTGCTTCCTGTTACACTACATTTATCTGCAAACTGGTAGTCATAATCTTACAACTCACTGGGAAGCTTCCAGCTACCTGCAGTAGTATGCTGCACTGGCATCTCCTTTTGAAAACCCACAACACAGTTTTGAAAGACATCTGATATCTTGTCAGAAATACGTAGTAGAATATTGCTTGAAGTACTCAAAGAATCTCCAAGCAATTTGAGATAACTGTTGGTGAGACAATAAGCAATCAGCAGATCAGATAACACCCCATGAGCTGAGCCTTTGAACCTGAAACAGGAGAATCTTGACCTTGAATGGTATGGCAATCTCTATATAAAGATATTAGAGTGAAAGTATTTTACCTATTTACAAATAAAGGTATAACTCCAGGCACAAAGTAGAGGTTATGCTTTATGTGATAGGTGTCATTGTTAAGAACACCTTCCCTTGTTTAAAGAGTGGAAATTTTCTTCAAAGAACATATACGAAGAGCATTTTTAAAGCACTTGAGATTGTCTGGAGAGCAGGGAAGAAATTTAAAGTTAAATTCAGGAAGGAACATCAGAAAAAGACCCACACTTCCCAAAAAAAACAGTAAAACAAAACACAAAACCAACCAAATCCAAAAAAATTAGAGAAAAAATGCAGGAAACATTAATGGGATGATTCTATACTCATGGAATGACAACTTTAAATGAACTGGAGTTCACTTTAGGAAACAGACTGGTTTGTTTTCTATCTCTCAAATGCTTCCTTTGATATCTGTGGCCTTAATAAGTGTGTTAAAAGGTCAGATGATGTGAATGAAATTGTCAAAACAAAGCTATACAGATAATTTGAAAGGTTGTCTTGGTTTAACTCTAGCTGGCAACTAAGCACCATATGCCTGCTTGCTTACTTTCCCTCATCCCCGGCTGTTGGGATGGGGGAGAGAACTGTAAAAGTGAGGGAATTTGTGGTTTGAGATAAAGACACTTGAGTAGGTAAGCAAAAACTACACACACAAGCAAAGCAATTTAATGAATTCATTCACTACTTCCCACCGTCAGTCAGGTGTTCAGCCATCTCCAGGAAAAAGAGCTCCATCATGTGTATCAGTTACTTGGAAAGACAAACATGATAATTTCAAATGTCCCCCTCTTCTTTCTTCCACCAGCTTTATATTTCTGAACATGACATTATATTGTGTGGGATATCCCTTTGGTTGGTTGGGGTCAGCTGTCCTGGCTGTGTCCCCTCCCAGCTTCTTGTGTACCCTGAGCCTACTTGCTGTGGTGGGGTGAGAACCAGAAAAGGTCTTGCTAGCGGTAAACACTGCTCATTGATAATGAAAGCATTCCTGTTATGAACTCTGTTTTGGTAACAAATCCAAAATAGCAAAATTTGAGGTACTGTGAAGAAAATGAACTCTATCCCAGCCAAAACCAGTACAATCTGGTCCATGGTACTGGATTTAGTGTCTTTCAAATGAAGTGATTACTTAATCTAGCAAAGCATTCCAAAAAGCTCTACCAACGATACCTTAAAAACTGCATTTAGAGAAGGGCAATAAAGTGAATGAAGAGGCTGGAAGGAATGTCCTGTGAGGAGCAGCTGAGGACTTTGTGTTTGTCTGTTTTGGAGAAGAGGCTGAGGGGTGACCTCATTGCTGTTTACAGCTTCCTGAGAAGGGAAGAGGGAGGTGATCTCTTCTCCCTGGTATCCAGTGACAGGACACATGGGAACTGTTCAAAGCTGCATTCAGGGTAGGTTCAGACTAGATATTAGGAAACATTTCTTTACCTAGAGGGAGGTCAAACTCTGAACTGGCTTCCTAGAGAGGTGGTTGCCTAATATGGTCTGGGAAGCAGGAAAGACTTTGAGTAAGCTCTGTCAGCAATAACTAAAACATCCCTGTATTATCAACAGCGTTTTCAAGCAAAAATCCAAAACATAGCTTCATACTAGCTGTTATGAAGAAAATGAACTGTATCCCAGCCAAAACCAGCACAAAAGTTTAGGGGGAAAACACAAGTGGGAAGGGCCAACCTTCTTTAAGTTAAACAAAAGGAAGACAAAGTTGTTATGTTTTATGTTAATTCTGCCATTTTACATGATGTTATATATATTAATTCTTCAGTGTTAATGTTACTTATGTTCTAAATTGCATTAAAGACATAGACACTCCTGGCATTAATCCAGTGTTCAGTGATACTCAGGAAATATTCTTCTTCTATTTAAAAATGCGTGTTTTCTAATGACATAACTTCAGCCTGTTTTATTTGGATACTTATCAGCATCACCAGACAAAACCATAAATTATGTTGATGCCATTTTGATAAGAAAAATCAATGTTTCCTGAAAAGAGTATAAACATTTACCAACCCACCAGAATCTAATGATGAATTAGTCTTTCAATCTTTCCTGTGTGATAGTCTGACAGTCCTGTTGTCTGTATGTGGCTTACAGCCAGTTGAAGGGAAAAGAGCTCAGTTGTGCTAAGGATGTATCTGTCTTGAGAAATACTCATTGTATGCTTATAATAGCATATTGTTAAACCAAAGGATGTTTCTTAAGTCTTGGTCTGAGGATAATTTTCAGACACTAGTGAAAGTAAACTAGTTTTTTTTTTCTAATATTTCTTTTCCTTGTTCCTGATCCTCAGTTTAGCTGGAGACAGAACCATCTGTATCACAACACAATAGTGTAAGATTTAAAAAATAAAAATAACATGCCCACCAGCAAGGAATTTGTCAATGGGATTTTCTCTGCTCAAATTATGGTACTGCTACCATGCTGTAGTAATTTTGTAGTAATGCTTTTGTAAGCCCTCAATGCACTGAGAGCTTATGTTTGTGTCTAGCTGAGCTCTGTTTACTTCATAAGTACTTAAAATTGTCACTAGTCAAAATGGAAAAGCTGGAACAAACAACAGTTATCACTTTAAACATTTAGGAAACTGCAAATAGTAAAATGATGTTGCATAAGGTTGTCTCATACTGAGGAAAGAGAGGCACTTGAGAGGACTTACACAGGCTCAGAACTTTTGATGTTAGGATATGCCTCTGAGTTACAGGGTTTACAATGTTCCTGGAACTCAGACTGCATATATACAGGAAACCCCTTGAGAGCTTCACGTGTGAAGTATATTTCATGCTATTGAGTTATGCAAAGTTTAGAATTTTATTCTTGGAAAGAAATTAAATACAAAGGTTAGGATGTTTAATTATACTTCCTGCAAAGATACTTGTGCTATTTGTTGAATAAATGTGTAATCTGTCAGTGTAGCAGTAAAAACATAATTGGTTTGTTTATATACACTAAAATTAAAAAAATCTTTTTTAGATGGGCCATACACTTTGAGAGACACATTTGTAAATGTTTTTTCAAAGCGAATAGTGTACATCTTATGGTTTTGGATTTAGCTCAGCTCCATAATTTTATTAATTTGGATGCCTGTTACCATTTTATATAGATTTATTTCTTATTAGCATTGCTTATTCTAAAGTGTTATAAACAGTTCCCATTGTTGACAAGACAGGCCCTCTCCTTCTTCATATTTAAGTCTAGCAATAGAAGGAATAACTACAGACACTCACACTAAAGACTGGTTAGTTTCTGAAAGGAGGTCTCTGTCAGTTGTCCCTTAGTATGTGGCAGTAAATGCATCTCTCTTCTCTTGGCATCTTTCTGTGATTTTGTTAATGGATTCCCTACCCAGGTTTTTAAGGGTAGCTTATGTCATCTGCTGTATTTGCGTTGAATTACTATTTCTGTGCAATGAATTGAACATAGTTACATGTAACTGTGTTCATAATTTCCTTTACTTTCTTTTCAATACAGAGACCAAACTTCAACAGCAAATTTCATTTGCTTTAAGCACACCTTTTTCTTTTGTTAAATGAATTGTTCTCTCAAATAAAACCCCCTTGTTTTTAAGAAAACTCTCCTCCTGTTTTGAGGAAAATTGCTGGAGA